TGCACACTTGGGCTTTTATGGTGGCCTTGGTGTTGGCGGGCCTCTTCCGTGGCCCGGACTTGAGCGCCGGCCGCGAGCAGGCATACCTTTAGGCTGTGCAAAGTGAAGGCTCGGCTTTCCTCCGACGTCACCGGGACCGGCTTGGTGGAGTCCTGCCAGGGGATTGTGAGAAAGTGTCGCATAGCTGCTAGGCTTTGGCTATAGGCCATAGGCTTGGCATATATGGAGCTTGGGTGCGATAGGCCTCCCAGGTTGGTAAGCACTGGTAGGATGAAGTCTGGGATCACTGGCATCCCCATGGCTGATTCAGTAGCTATCCAGGCTGCCTGCATTGCTTGCAGAAAAGGCAGGACCCAAAGCGTGTCCGGAGACCTACCTGATAGGCCATGTAGGGTTACTGCGAAGGGTTGGCCCCTTTTTGTAGTCTAGAGCTGGTGAGGGATAGGCTGTTTAGGCGGATCCGTTGTAGGTCACCGAATCTGAGGCCTCCATGCAAGGCCAGCAAAAGGCCTCCGAGGAAAAGGCGAAGATCTTGTGGGCAGTGGGGGCTACAGATGTACCTCTCCCACTCCACCACGACAGCTAAAGGCAGAGGCAGTGCTTCTCTGCGATCCGAGGTAGGCTGGGTGAGGAATGCTTTGATGAGGCTGGCTTGAAGTAGGGGCTGAAGAGCGGCAATATCGGCGTTTCGACCTAACCACGAGAGGGCTTTGGGGATAGGTCTCGGGCCTATTTTGCAAATCTCGCGATCTTCCTCTAGGCTGTTCTCGCAGGCATGTAGGAAATCGGCAAGGAAGGCCCGATGGTGAGAACCGTCAGATTACTGAGGCCAAGAAAATCAAGAAATTGCTTGGCTGCGGCAAGATATCTCTCGAGGGTTCCGGCTGTGTACTTCTCGAGGCTCTTCTTGAGGAGTGCCTGAGGATATTCGGAGTTGGCCAGGCTGGACTGGAGGCTCGAGGCTGACCCGATCAGAAGCAGGATCTCTTGCCATTCGAGGAGGCAGGCCTCCTTCCGATTGTTCTCTTGTGAGGCCCGAGAGACGAGACCTCCAGGGGCTGCTGCTGGGACCCTCGGGGTTTGGGCCCGCTGGCGCGAGGGCAGGTCGTCCACCGTAGATAGGCCGAGAGGCTTGAGTCTATCATTGTCTATCATTTTGAGGGGTCAGGCTACGGGGAGGTGGGCGGACGAACGGCCTAGGCTTAGGGACGGCGATCCCGAGCAAGCTGGCAGACCACCTCGGCTGGGGTGCGAAGAAACGGGGGTTGCAGGCCCCCTTTGCTCGGTGGCAGGGGCATTCTGGCTCTGTAGCTGACCTGAGGTGTCTGGGCTCCCGCGGCTGAGATTCTCACGGCATCTTGGGCTTCTTGATGGAGTCCACTGACCACGGAGGGGTCGGTCTCCTGGAGGCAGGGTTTTCGGGGGCAGGCAGGCCGTGCCCCGACTGCGGCTGCGGGCCCTGAACCTTTTGACAACGCAAATTGCCTGTGCCGGGATCGGAGCTGAGGAGGGCTTAGGCCGTGGGCTGGGAGAGGCTTTGAGGATATCTCCTGTGTGATGTCCTCGATCAGTGTCACGTCTGACCATGACTGGGGCTGGCTACCGGCTAGGCTGGTTTCGCTTCTAGATTTCTCTGGGGAATGAAGATCTGACATGGCTGAGGCGAGAGTTCCTGGACGGGCTACTAGACGCTCAAAGACTAAGGCTGAGGTCCCGGCTCGGCAGGAGTCTGAAGGGTGACTGTCCTGCAGGTAGAGCTGACGTGAGTCACGAGCTCCCGAAGAGCAACTTGTTGCATCCAAATCCCGTCTCCGAGGCTTTTTTACACTGCTAGGCTGGGGCTCCGATATTAGGCAGGCTAGGCGAACGTGAACTGTGCAGGAGGCTAGTTGCTGGCGATAGCCTCGGGTAGGCTGTC